ATTGTATTTGGTTCAGCGGTTATCGAGTAATTAATAAATAAAATTTACAAAAAATTATGAGACATACTGTATATTGTTCATTTATTTCTCAATTATAGATTTGGAACCCACAAGAAAAGGCCTACCAGCATAATATAAGAAATAATGGGTGGAGCCCAGACTCAAAGAGTCATGCATCTAATGGGTTTTTATTTTTGATTCATTTTCTGTATCACTATACTTTGTAATAAATAAATCAGACCCTTAAAGTGTCTCGAAGAGTCATTGGTCAAATAAAGATTTTTGCATATTGATGAAGAATTTAATCATAAGTTATATTGCATAAAAAATAATTGTCACATGTTCTATGAACTTCTACATCGATCCCTTATCATTACACATAAAAAATTAATTATCAGAAAAAAAGAGTAACCATTTAGATCAGTTTGCTTTATTAGCCAAAGACTTGCTTACACTAATACAATAAAAAATTCATGTAAGGTGGGTAATTTTTTTATCCATTATTTTTTGGTATCTTTTTCTTGCATGCAACTTCTTGCTTTTAGCTTCATCATATGTATTTACTCTATCTTTCAATAATCTGGAAATAATATATATGAGAATTTGAATCAATTCGAGGTCACTGCTTTATTATCAGACTTTAATCTGTGCACTTAATGCATTATAAAACAAAAAATTTGTCATAGTAAGGCAGATACAAAAAATAAGATTGTAAAATACATTGCTATGATATGGTACAAATGTTGATAAAAAAATCTAGTTATTTGAAGAAGTTATATAAACATGAACTTTTTCTTCACTAAAATTCTTACCAAATAATTTAAAAGTTTTAACTGTTGATTTCATAGATCCACTACTAGGAATTAAACTAAGTTTGATTTGAGTAGAAGGAATAGTATCAAATAAAAATGTCAACTGTTTTTTTACTATAGGTTTAAGGGCGTCAACCTTTTTGTCTTTGTAAATTTCAATTGTAAAAACTTCATTTTCATTATTGTTTTCATCAATTTGAAAGTTAAGACTAACAATGTTTATCATTTTACTGAAATCTTATTTCATAGGTCAATCGTGAGTAGAGTTTTTGCTTACAAACTTTGTTATTCATAACACATATTTTAAGTAAAAAATATGAGAATATAAGAAATTTTCAGAAGAAACAACTTCACCTGAATAATGTTATTAACTATACAATGTAAGATAAATTCAGCTTATCTTTATATGCTTTATTTATTTCGAAACTTACTAGAATAATCCAAACTTTATGAAGCGAATCTCTAATTTATAGAATATTGAAATTATATAAATATCAGAAATAGAGAGATCTTTGAACTTGTTATGATTCAGCCTCCATAAAAAGTGTTGCCATATGTAATTAAATATGCAGAGCATTATGTCATAGATGTATAAGTGAAACCCTTTTGAGGTGATGATCACATGAAGTTGGTTAATCACAACAAAGATCTGGAATTGCAGAGATTTCAAAACTTCATAAGACACATTTTCTAATAACAGCACTGATAGAAAACAACAGGTTCTTTATCCTTATATCTTTTTTGAGATTTGTTTTTACTCATCCTTATTGTAAAAGCATATGTAATGTTAGAGGTATTTCCAAGCAAAAAAATAATGATTATCATATATAATACACATATGTAATTATGCATGTTCTACGAATTTCTATATCGATCCTACCATGATATTATTGGCTTATATTATTCTGAAATAATTAAGTTAATAAACTTGAATAATTAATTTCTAAATATTCTCATAACTCATTATAAATCAAATATGTCAACAATATTATCTTTTCAAATATTTCCAACTTTAATAAAGTCAGTTATCATACTATATATATGCTTATATTATGTTTAATGCTTATATTTAAAATTTTATTGTAATACATATTTAGAATTTAGATAATACTGATCCTAAGCATATTTCATAAATGATCTACCTGGTCAATAAAGCTACTCAATTACTGCATATTGAATTATTTTAGTGGAATTAATTTGTTTTTTTCATAAATGATATGTCTGCTGGATAATTAATGATGCATGATTTTTTTTATACAATACTAGTTAAACTTTAAAATTTCTAAATTTGAGGTCATTACCTATTTGCTTATGACTGGTTAAATTATTTTTGATATGAAATACAAAATTCTTTCAATAATCTCTACTATTTATTTTATATCCTAATTTTAATAAACACTTGCGATATATTTTGATAGATAATATTTTGCAAATTGTAACCATGCTTCTGACATTTTAATATTGTTAACAATATAATTTTCACCATATTCACTTAATTTATCTTATACTTTGTTATAACTCATATTAGATATTTGATATTTCAAACATGAGTAATTTATTAACTAAGACTTTTTATTTAATAGATAATTAATGAAGCTAACTGAAAAAAATATATATGGCAGATAGATAGGTCGACTTGCTTTCCCTATATTTAATAAATAAAAAATCTCAGAATGAAATTAATAAAATTATCACATCGTTTATTGAAGAGTCAAAGACTTGATGTTCAGCATCATCATAATCTTCCAATTCAGAAAAAAGATGGATAAGATAAAATTATCAGCAGAGCTGGCATGGCCAAAAGCACTTAATGTATTGTTATACTTGATCTTCACCCAAGATCATCACTACCCCTTGTCCGATTTTTACTAGCATTTACCCTTGAGATATTACTTTTTCTAGAATAATTCTTGTATTACTATTCTTGTTATTGTTTAGCACTGTACTTTTTGTGCTATTGTTGCTCTAGAATA